CCCCCAAAAAAAAACAAATAAGCTTGGAGCCATTGAGGGATATAAATATTTGCTCTTGGTGACAAGGTGACTGGGGAACTCTGGTGGCGTGGTCTGTATGGAGCTAACCCAAATGTGGTACCTCTTTGGAGGTTTGAACTCACCAGAAGCTCTTCCAGGGAAAGATGGGAAATCTCCCTCAGTGTGATTTACAGCTTTTAAAAATTTACTGAAGGGTCAGCTATGAGTTGCTTTACTCAACAGCAATGAGTTTGAGGTGTTTGGTGTAGAGATCCAAGTAACAATAGATTATTAAGGACAGAGATTTGAAGACAGTAATGGAGTATTAGTGAGCTATGATGGATAAATTGTAAGGAACTGCATTGTCAATCCAAAGGCACATGGGGACATGGTTCAAATCCACCAGCTGTTCCACAGAACAAAGATGGGCAGTCTCCTCTTGTGCAATATATTGCCTCTGAAAACCAGCTATGAGATGGTTCTGATTCCATGGTATACAACAACAGTAACAGTGGATTATTATTAACTGAATCATTCAATCTCTATGGGAGAGGAATAGTTCTTCCCTTACAGAGAACAGACAAATTATTTGTGAAGGAAAAGTTCAACTAAGTAACCTGAGGATGAATGTTCAGAAAATATGAAGGAATGCCAGGAGAAAGCAATATCACTAAATCTAAAGAAGAGATAATTTATGGAAGGCAGAGGTCAAGAAATCAATGCACTTGGCAGTTGGATGAGAACCAAAGATTATACTGAACTTGGCCATTAGTATGCCATAAACTTCACCAGCAGATCTCTCATTATCACCGCTTTCTGTTGTTTTTTCCCCAGCATTGCATTGGTGGAGGAGGATATTTCCCAGAATCCAGTCCCTGGCAGTGTGGAGATTTCTCTGGTTTTGACTGGAATGGCTATGGAACTCACACTGGTTATAGCAGTAGCCGAGAGATAACAGAATCAACGGTGCTCCTGTTCTATAAATAAGTGCTCCATGCAGAACACTTTTTCCAAACTTGGGTTCCCAAAGGCAGGGAACAACTCACCCAGTAATGAAGATATTATATCATTGATTTTACCAATAATTTTGGCTTTATGCTGCAGGTATTGGCAGAATAAAGACAAATAAAACTCAGGCATTCAAGTCTTTGTTTTTCTTCATTCTTTTTCTGAGAGGATTGAAACATGGTAGATTTTTTTTTAAATGCTTGATTTTGTTTCCACCACTTTTGTACTTGTCTCAGAAATCATGACAAACAAAATGTCATTCTCCCTATTTCATATATCCCTTAAAACAGCCAGACAAGTTAAGGGCAAGGGAGGAATTTTTCCTACTTTTAATTTACTCCCATGGACTATTCATTCGCCTTTTTCACACAGAGATCTTATGGACAAAATGACCTAATTTTGTGCGTACACCAAAGTAGTCTCCTATGGTCATAATCTTGCCTTCGTGGTTGAAACATTCTCCTTAGGGATATGTGGGGCTGGCAATCCTGCGATGAAACTACTTTTGTCAGTAGAGAGCCAAGTGGTAGAATCCACTCCACTGTATTATTGGTATAAACAGGATGTGTATGGCATCAATCCTGACTCAAGTTCTTTTTAAAAAAAATTTCTACTAGTTTATTTACACAATTCAAATACATAGTTTTCAAGAACAGATTCTTTCAATTTCCCTCACTCCTCACCCATCAAATTGTACAATCCCATGATTAATCCTCCCTCCCCCTGCACATCCTCATCCCTCTGCTTCCACCCTCTCCCACCCCTCTTGGATCCTTACACTCATTCTACAATAATGGTTTTATACAATATTTATCCTTGTGGGACTGAGTTAGGTCACTCAGCATAATGTTCTCCAGTTCCTCCCAAGTTACGTAATAATTTACAAAATCATTGCTTCTGTGTGCTGTGTAGTATTCCACTGTGTGAATGTACCATAAATTCTCAATCTATTCCTTTATGGTTGGACATTTGGGCTGTTTCCATGTTCTTGCCAACTCAAGTTCTTGATAGTTTTTTTTTGTAATACATAATATTTCATGTGTCAAGACTGATGAACCATTAAGTCACACACAGTTATGCAAACCAGCGAGTTTCAGTCCTTGGGTCAGGAGTCAGTCCAGAAGCTTCTCTCTACTCATGTGGTTTACAGAGGTTGAGAAGCCCAAAATCATCAGGTCAGACAACAGGCTGCTGGGCTAGAGGTGCAAGCTGTTGAGTCAGATCAGAGGAGAGGCTAGTCGCTCAAGCTGATGAGCCAAGTGCAGAATCCAGAACTAAAGCAAAACCTTTGCCAGAGCATTCATGTATATTGGATACAAGGCCATATCCTCAGTGAAACTCCCCATAGTTGTGAAAAATGGTGACTGGATCATGAATGGTAGTTTGGTTCATACTCTTCAGTAAGGCTCAGCATACTCGCCACAAAAATCCTGCCATTTAACACAGTAGACAGTTCTCTCTAAAATGAAATAATTATCACATGTATATAAACTAGAATTTAAATATATATCACAAATGATAGATGATTGTTATAAGGTACATTTTAAGTAATTTCCTGGACTACACATATAGATGTTAGAAGAATGTCTTGTTGTTAGCATCTGTTCAGTACAAGTTAGTTAATTGTATTTTTGAGGATTTTCAAGGGCATTTAAATTCAATTTTATAAAAAAGAAAAAGTGGTCACTTAATAAAAAATAACTGATACAAAGAATATGCAGTGTAGTGGAGGGAGAGTGAAGTCAGTGCAAATTAAGAAACATATTTGCATTTCTGCACACTTTATGCATAAGGTGACCCAAAAATTCATTTTAATGAAATTAAATTGAAACTCGACAGCACCTAACAATAATATATCTATGTCTATAACAATATCTATATGTGAATCTAATTATAGAAATACATACATGCATATATTATGGAAATGATTAAACATGGAAAATAAAGGTGTTTGGTTCAATATCAACAGTTCCATATTCCTATTTTTCAGAGTTATGTAATCTTACTGTGAACATGGAATTTTCCCAGATTAGTGATTCTCAAACTTCAGTGTGCCCTACAATTACCTAGAAGGCTTATTAAAATACATTTTTAAACCCAACCTGAAATTTGCTTCTGTAGGTATGAGGCAGAACTTGGAAACAGATATTTCTAGAACATTACCAGGTGATATTAATGTTACTGGTTTGGGAACCACAATTTGAGAATCGCTGTTCTAGAACTCCTTTTCTGTGATGAGAATTTCTTGGATATTTTCTTGAATATGACATGTTTGAACAACTCATTGAGAAACATGTTTATCGTCATCCCAGACAGTTCTGTTGCTTCATTTTCTGCAGTCCTGTCCTGACCTCCGTCATTTTAAATGTGAATGTGCTTCAATTCCTCTGTATTGTAGTTGAAAAAAAGTTGGAATTTTGGTTTTACTTCCTCTATTTTAAAGGAGGTTATTGTTGTTGTTGTGAACTGTTGAGTCAGAATCAACCCATAGCTAACCCTCCCTCAGATTTTCAGAGGCAATGAATCATGCAGGAGGAGATCGCCCATCTTTCTTCTACAGATGGCTGATGGATTTGAATCAGGTGCCTTGGAGTTGGCAGTGCAGCTCCTTATTACTAGGTCAGCAGAGCTCCATATTAAAGGGGAAACATTCTCTAATTTTGCTCACCTATTTTTGGTTCTTTAGCATGAAGAGACAATATATCATAGCCATGGTAGGACCAGGACACAAAATTATATGTAATGAAGTCAATTTCTATGTATATATGTACTTTTTAAATACAAAAACACATACATTAATGATATATGTACTATCTGCAGCTGTTCTCTGAGCAACCCCAGTGTGCCAGGTGCTGTACACAGTCAGCCCCAGGATCCCTTCCAGAACCCGCATCTGCCCTGGTGATGTTCTTGCCCTTGTGGACCTTCCAGTACAAAACAAACTCATTGCTGTCAAGTCAGAACCAATTCAGAGCTGACCTCCCAAATGGTTTGTAGAAGTTGTAAATAGCATGGGAAGACACTGCTCATCTTTCTCCCTTGGAGCAGCAGGTGAATTCAAACTGCCTGCCTTGGAATTGACAGTACAACTCCTTACCAACTACGCCACCAGAGCTCTCACCTCCTAGTTTATCTGGGACTACGTTATAAGTGACTAAAGTGAAAGGCCACTTAGAAGTGTGATAAACTGTGAAAATCAGGTACAGAAGGCAGGAGAGGCAGTGTGATATTTGGGTTGCAGTGGTCCTGGCAGAGGGCCCTGCATCCTTCTGTGTCCTTGGCAGGCCATTTTGCCTCTAGTCTCAGTGGCCTTCTCAAAAAATGAGATTAGTAATAGTAACTTCTAGCTGGGAAATGGAAGGGACAAGACATAGGTGCTTGGGTGGGTTGGGGACACAGAATGAATTAGTTATTTCTATAAGGGAAGTATCTTCCATCTTCTCCTTTCTGTAAATGCTTGTCTGACAGATACTAATCTAAAACTAAGCATCCACATTAAGATAGACTAGGAAGAAGGATTAGCCACCCACTTCCAAAGTATAAGGCCTTTGAAAATCCTATGTACAATAGAGCACACTTAGAGTAGACTAATAGATAGGGCAACTGAGACTGGCTCAGGACATGGCAGGCTACAGAACTGCTGTACATAGGGTTGCTATGAGTCACAGGTGACTCAACAGCACATAACAACAGCAACAACAACATATGTGCATATTCACAAAACACACACCCATACACAGTCCTGGTGATGCAGTGGGTGCAAGATAGTTATTTTGTAAAGTTTTTTTTT